CCCGAAATCCCGTCGGTCACCCTTGAAGGTTCACTTTAGGTTCCAAGACAGCATGGCGCGCGTCCGTCGGCCGTCTTAAAGGGCCGCAGACATTTCTAATTCAGTTATGAATTACATGTCGACTTTTGTAGTGTGGACAATACAGAACTCGCCACGATCGCGCGCGCACGCGCGCGGCGGGTGACCCACCAACCGCGCGGGTCACCCGAAATCCCGTCGGCCACCCTTAAGGGTTCACTTTTGTTTCCAAAACAGCATGGCGCGCGTCCGTCGGCCTCCTTAAAGGGCCACAGAAATTCCAATTTCAGTTATTGGAATTGTATGGCGGCTTTTCTATTGTCGACAATATTGAACTCCGCACGCGCGGCGCGGGTGACCATGGTCACCCGCGCGCGGGTAGGTCACCTCGGCCTCCTTTGAGGCTTCACAGAAATTTCAAGTTCAGTTCTTGGACTAACATATCGACGCGCCAATCATCACATGAACAAGTGAATCGGGAAATTCAATACATCACGAACAAAAATCAGACAAAACGACCGCACTGAAAACATCATTACCTGAGGAGGTTTGGGTCCCTGGCGCGCGGAGCGCGCCAGGGGCGGCGCCGGAGGCGCCGCCGGGGGGCCCCAGCGCCGATCCGAGAAATCCGCGCGGACCTCCGAGTTTTTATGTTTATGCCACTTTTTGTTCCCCTATCTGATGACTGGGGGGTGTGGAAATCATGGAAAGAGCGTGTTCTACCGTTGCTGGCGGAAAACCCGGGGGGGTCACTACCGGTTCGAACCCCTTCCCCCCCCCTCCGGAAAACCGAGGGGGGCCACTACCGGTTCGAACCCCTCCCACCCCCCAGCTCATCATGAAAAGGGGGGGGGTCACCCGGTTCGACCCCCCCCCCTCCCCTCGAAAACCGGCGGGGGTCACTACCGGTTCGAACCCCCCCCCCCTTTCTCGAAAACCGAGGGGTGGTGCGGACAGTGGTGGGGACGGTGGTGGTGGGGACTGGTGATGGGATAGCGGGACAATGGTGGGGACAGTGGGACAGTGGTGGGGACTGCAGTGGTGGGGACAGTGGTGAGGACAATGGTGGGAACAGTGGGGACAGTGGACAGTGGTGGGGACGGTGGTGGTGGGGACAGTGGTGTGGGGACAGGGGGAGGTGGAAACAGTGGGACAGTGGAGGGTGGGGACAGTGGTGAAGGCGGTGGCGAGGACGGTGGTGGGACAATGGGACAGAGGTACAGTGGGGACGGTGGTGGGGACAGTGGGGACAGTGGTTGGAACAGTGGGACAGCTCAGTGGGACAGCGGAGGAGTCAGTGGGACAGTGGGGACAGTGGGGATAGTCGGGCAGTGGTTGGGGCCGTGGAGAAAGTGGGGAGAGTGGAACCGTGGTGGGAACAGTGGTGGGGACAGTGGGGACAGTGGTGGGAGCACTGGTGGGGACAGTAGGGACGGTGGTGGAACCAGTGGGGACAGTGGTGACGACAGTGGTGCTGGGAACAACAGTGGGGGATGTGGCGCGGACGGTGGTAGGGACCGGGAGTCGTTTGCTGGCGGTGAGTGGGGGGGGGGAGGGGTTCGAACCGGACCCCCCCTCCGGTTTTCGGGGGGGGGGGGTCGAACCGGTAGTGACCCCCCCCCGGTTTTCGAGTGGGAGGGGGGGAGGGGTTAGGGGAGGGGGGGGGGTTTTGCCGGGGGAGGAGGAGGGGGGGGGGGTTCAGCGGGGGGGGGGGGGATTTTCGGAGGGGGGGGAGGGGGAACCCTGGGCTCCGGAGGAAGAGGGGGGCAATTTTCCACAGTAAAGCGGCGGTGGATCACGCTCTCTCCAATCATGGCATGGGCCAGGATGTTTCCCCAGATTTCATGGCGCCTCTTCTTATTTCATTACGTCCCTGGCCCCCCCGCTGTGCCGCGCACGTGCCGCCAGTCATGATTTGCACTCTCCCACTTTTGGGCATCCTCCTTGTGGCTGCTCCCGAAAGGAGGAGACCTTCTCAGAAGGCGGCGGGGCTTCTCAGAAGGCCTCGCGCCTTCTGAAAAAGGTCGTCCGCGTCTTCCGGGAAGGCTCGGGAAATATTTGTCAGAATGCCAGGGGACTTCCGAGCCTTGTGAGAAGACTCGCCCCTTCTCACTTCCTCCCCTCGCTCGCCGCCGATTATAATCGGATGATTTTTGGCCCAGCTTGCTTCACAAGTGGTTTACGCATGCCACATGCCCTGGGGAATGTATGGGGGGACAGATCACTTCTCTGAGTGAGCGGATCCCACTTGGCCTGGATCGCTACCCCCCCCCCCCTGCGCCACCCAGGGCATTCGCAACAGACGTATAAGCCAGGTTGGGCCAGCTAGAACCACTCTGGCATCCGCTTATAGAGCCCTCTGTCCCCTTGGCAGCTCCCGCGGCCATCCCAGAGTGGCGGCCATCCCTGGCGTTGTTGGTCTTTGCTGGACCTCCTGGAGGATTCTCGTCGCCACGGCTGGGTCCGCGTCGAGGAGTGGCTC